AGGCGGGTCTCGAACCCACAGGCTCCGGCAATCCACTCACCTCAGCCTCCCAAAGGCGGGGGATTACAGGCTGAGCCACCTCAGCCTCCCAAAGGCGGGGGATTACAGGCTGAGCCACCGAGCCCGGCTTTCCAAGCTTTTCAATTAAAACTTTCCAAGGACCTTATCACTTTCCGGGCAGTCCTCTTATCACTGCAATCTGCCTTTCTCAAGCCACTAAAACCACTCTTGCCTAAGGCCAGCTCTAATTTCCAAATCTTGATAGACCATACCCTCTTTCTTTAAAACTTTCTCACCTCTCTAGCCTCTGGAACATCATTCTGCACTCCCTGTATCTGTCTGCCCCTTTCTCTGCCTGTCCCAGGATCACATCCTCTGTTCTCTGCTCTCCTCATTCTAAAAACTCTCCCTGGCACACACCCTGGGTAATCTCATATACTCTCATAGGCTACACTACCATCTACATGTTAATAACTCCCCAAACCTACCTGTGTAGCCTAGACCTCTCCCTTACACTTTAAATATCCAGCGGGCGTGGTGGCTTAAGCCTATAATCCCAGCACTTGGGAGGCTGAGACCTGTCTCTACAACAAATCAAAAAAGTAGCTGGGTATGGTGGCATGTACCTGTGGTTCCAGCTTCTTGGAAGTCTGAGGTAGAAGGATCACCTGAGCCCAGCAGGTCAAGGCTACAGTGACTGTGAGTGTGCTACTGCACTTGAGCCTGGGAGACAGAGTGAGACTCCAACAACAACAACAAAACTTCAAACAGTCAACCACTTTCCTGACTATATCTCCATTTAGATGTCCCACAGACAACTCAAAGTCAATATATCTAAAAGCAAGCTCATCAATCTCATCCCTGCTCCTTCTGCTTGTTGATCCCTGCTCCCATCCCCAATCCAGTAAATAATCAAGTCTTGATTATTTCACATTCTCCTAAATATTTACAGGATATTTTCTTTTCTTTTCTTTTTTTTGACTCGGAATCTCACTCTGTCGCCCAGGCTGGAGTGCAGTGGCACACTCACAGTCACCGCAGTCTTGACCTGTTGTGCTCAGGCAATCATTCCGTCTCAGCCTTCCTAGTAGCTGGAACCACAGGCACATGCCACCGTGTCCAGCTAATTTTTTGATTTATTGTAAAGATCTTGCCAAGTTGCCCAGGCTGGTCTCCAACCCGTGAAATCAGGCAATCCTCTCACCTTGGCCTCCCTAAGTGCTGGAATTATAGGCATGAGCCACCATGCCTGGCCCATTACAGAATATTTTCTTTCCTGTGTTCCTATAGCCACTACCTTTGTTCAGGCCACCATCCTGTCTCACCAGCCCTAAGGCAACAATCTTCTTACACCCTTAACCAGCCTTCTTAGCATCATCTACAACACTCTCCAATTCTCCATGTTTGTCTTCATTCTCACCGCTTGCCATTCTGTCTTAAGTTTTTGCTTCAATACCACTAACAATGCACACACCATGATGTTTCTCACCTCATGCTTTTGGGGCAGGACCCTGTTTTGGAATGCTTTGACCTACCTTCACAGCCCATTTTAACCTACCTAATTCACCTCCACGAAGTCTTCCCTTCCCTGTCCCCCAGCTAGACGAAGCACTTCCACAGTTTCCATAATATACCATCCACATCTCTCAACACTGCATTTAGTACAGTGCTTTATGATTACTAAGTTTTTATCTTCCTCACGACTTCAGGAGCTCTTTAAGGCCAAGATTCGTGTCTTATTTTTCTATCCTCACCACTTAGCACTGTGCCTAACACATTTCTGTTCAACGGATGAATGAGTCCTTTCCCCGATGTGGGCGTGTCAGTCTGTAAGCATTAAAGGGAGCCTTAAGTACCATAATCAATGGGACTTCTTATTGCTGGCTTTTGATAAAGACTAAATTTTACAGCTCTAGTAACCCCTTGAAATAGCCCCGTCAGTGCCTCCAAGGTGCCGACCTTCCCAGTATCTATTATCCACCAGGATCGTCCCTGCCCGATAGCCCGATGTGTTCCTACAACTCCAGCAGCCCTTCGCACACTCATCTTTTCCAAATCTCACAGAAGGATCTCCAAACATAATCGATGGCAGCTCTGTGAGGCCACTAGCCATCTGCTGCCTTCATCCTCGTAATTGCCTGTCCGTTCCCTCCCCTTGCTCCTCACCAGCCCCCATTCTCCTTGATCACGCTGGCCGCTCTACCTTTCCCCCCTTTTCCAGAGCCACTTTTTCCTTTGGGCGGCATCTTCGAAACTTGCAGTGGAACACTCAACTGCGCAGGTTTCCGAACAAAGCCCCTTTAGGCCCCACGGGCATGTCCCAAACAATGCCTGAAAGCGGCATAGCAGTTGACCATTCTTACTGCGGCTCCAGAGGCAGGCACAGCTTGAGGCAGACCCAGTCCTTTGGGTTTCAGGCCAATGGGGCTGAAGATGTCTAACCAATAAGAAGCTTGGAGCCAGGCGGTGGGGCGGAGACAAAGGCAGGGTTGGGGCGGGAAACTCCGCCTCTGCGCTTTTGTTACTCCTTTCATACGCTCTTCTTTGCACTAGCTTCCCGGTTCCCTACGCTCTACCGCTCACTTTCTCCACGCGTGCGCAGTTGGAGCCTCAGGGGACTGCCTTCCCTTGGCGCCAACTCGGGCCAATCCCGCGGGGGCGCCAAAGGGAAAGCCGGAAGAGCCAAGGTGGTTACCTCCTTCTACCGTTTCCTCGCACAGGCAGTTTTTCGTTTAATTTTATTTTGCAGCTGTAGTTGATTGGGTTCAAAAGGTAGTTTTAAACAAAGCCTGTCATTCCTCTGCCTCTTGCAGAACTCAGTCGTGGAGAAACATTGGAAGCAGGCTAAATGCTCCTCAGGTACTGCTTAAATAATGTTTCGACCACGCAGAAGGATATTGTGCACCATTTAAAATGACGATTGTAAGGCTGTGTGTACAGATAGGAGAAATTAAGACCAAGATACAGAATATGATTCCTTCTTTAAGTGTATATAGTGTACTACATAATGTATGCATATAAAGGACAGGAAATCTATTCAGCTAAATGCGACCAGTGGCTCTGATGCCGGATGTGTTGCGGCGCAAAACCCGTAGATTCTTTGACTCGTTTCTAAAATGAATTTTAAAGCAGCCAGGAAAGTTTTAAAACAAAGTTTATTGACGAGAAAAGAGAGAAGGAAAAAGACTTATGGCAAAAAGACCTGCCATGGGCAACGTTTTCAAAGAAAAACCGCGCTTTTGTTCTCAACTGCAAACTAGATATAACTACCTCGTTATTGATATGCTAATGGTGGAGTCCAGCTAATCGTGGCTCCAAGAGAGATTGACATCTCTGTGCTCCTGATGGGAGGAGACAAGGGGAGGGATTATTTATTTATTTATTTATTTATTTATTTATTTATTTATTTATTTTTTTTTTGAGTTGGAGTCTCACTCAGTCGCCCAGACTGGAGTGCAGTGGCCGCTCCCGGCCACCGCAGCCTCGACCTGCTGGGCCCCGGCGATCCTTCCGCCTCAGACTTCCGAGTAGCCGGAACTACAGGCATGCGCTACCACGCCCGGCTGATTTTTTGATTTATTGTAGAGATGAGGTCTCCCTGCCCAGGCGGGTCTCGAACCTGCGGGCTCAGGCAATCCACTCACCTCAGCCTCCCAAAGCGCAGGATTACAGGATGAGCCACTGGGCCCGGCTGGGAGGGATCTTTTCCTGACTACATTGTTTCCCCGCAGGAGACCTGCTAACGTTTCCAATTCACAAGTTCCTTAGGTGGTCTTATTATTTCCAAACTGCAAACCTGAAAGTTTCTTAGTGATTATTATGCTAAACCATGAGTTGAAAAGTTGGGCTGTCCCAATCTTACATATGATGGAGTTTTCTTTGATTTGCTGAGGGGGTGGCAAAGGCTGGGAGCTAGGTCTTCAGTAAAATGTAATTTTATTCTATCTATCCATCTATTTACTTATTTTTGAGTTGGAGTCTCATGCCATCACCCACTGTAGTGCAGTGGCACGCTCTCGGCCACCCCAGCGTCGACCTGCTGAGCTCCAGCGATCCTTCCGCCTCAGCCTTCCGAGTAGCCAGAACTACAAACGCTTGCTACCACGCCCGGCTATTTTTTAATTTTACTGTAAAGACAAGGTCTCGCCAAGTTGCCTGGGCTGTTCTCGAACCCGCGGGCTCTGGCAATCCACTCGCCTCCGCCTACCAAAGTGCTGGGATTACAGGCTGAGCCACCAAGCCCGGCCCAGTAAAATGTAATTTTTAAAATGTCTGAACATTTCCTAAAACCTACCTATTGGAAATGTATCTGTCTATGTCTAACTTGTGCCAGCTACCCTGCCACAGCACTAGTACATACAGGTCATCATGTATGTTTCTGTATATTTTCCAAAATTTCTTTAATGTTGCAACTTAAAAGCATGGATTCTGTAGCCAAATTGCCTGGTTTCAAATCCCTGCTTCACCATCTGTCTACTAGCTCTGTGACCTTGGGGAAGTTATCTTATCTCTTTTTGGCTCAGTTTCCTCATCTGTGAAATGGAGTTGATAATAGTGCCTATTCACAGAGTGTTAAGAGAATTAAATAAGTTCATATTTGTAAAGCACGTGAAACTGACTAGCTCATAGTTCGTGTTAGCTTAAGATACATAATTTTTGAATTTGTACCTCCACATTTTTTTCTCCCCTTATCAACAACCCCTCCCCATCAATAATTTGCATGTAATATCAGGGCTTTCCCTTCACTCCATGAGATAGCTGTCTCAGCTTGCCACTGCCAACCAGAATATATAGATTCTCCAGCTCAGAGTTTAGTTTCTTAAGCAGCCTTGCTGGACTTGGAGATACTTCGTGTCTAAACCAGGGGGTCAGGTATTTCTGAGATTATGCCCATGCCCAACTCAGACATGACAAGTAGTCCCCTTATGTTGTATTGCTGTGACTTCTGGACATATCTTGGCACTCCTTGTTTTGGATTGGCGGTGATCAATTTTGTAGAATGCATCCAGTGCTGAGGGGATGACTGCTCCCCCCGCTTTTTTTTTGAGTCAGAACTTACTCCATTGCCCAGGCTGGAGTGAGTGCAGTGGCATGATCATGGCTCACCACAGCCTCTACATCCTGGGCTCAAGCGATCCCCCTGCCTCAGCCTCCCAAAGTGCTGGGATTTCAGGCGTGGGCCACTGTACCTGACACTCCCCTACTTTTTATTATTATTATTTTTTTTTGAGTTGGAGTCTTACTCTGTCACCCAGGTTGGAGTTCAGTGGCACTCTCACGGCCACTGTAGCCTCGGCCTGCTGGGCTCAGGCGATCCTTCCGCCTCAGCCTTCCAAGAAGCTGGAACTACAGGTTCCTGCCACAGACACTCCCCTACTTTTGAGGTGAATCCTACTCCCATACTGACTTTTCATACCCAGCTGGGAGATGGGTGGGGGTTGGAGTTGACAATGACAGTCTGGCCTTGTGCTCATCAGTTTATCCATGGCCAGGAGGTCCAAGGAGGCACCTTTATGTCTGATTTTTCTTCGGAAAGAGCCTTTCCTGTGACCACTGACTATGGCAGTTATGGAATAGGAATGAAGCCAACTAGACTTACCATCCTGATGAAGAGTCAACATGAATGGCTGATGTGCCTGGTAAATGCTCAGTTCCTGGAACATTGTGAGCTGCATGCATTCCAGCAGATAATAATGGCAACAGCAAGCCGGGCTCGGTGGCTTAGCCTGTAATCCTGTGCCTTTGGGAGGCTGAGGTGAGTGGATTGCCTGAGCCCGCGGGTTCGAGACCCGCCTGGGCAGGCGAGACCTCATCTCTACAATAAATCAAAAAATTAGCCAGGCGTGGTAGCGCGCCTGTAATTCTGGCTACTCGGAAGGCTGAGGCAGAAGGATCACCGGAGCCCAGCAGGTCGAGGCTGCGGTGAACGGGAGCGACCACTGCACTCCAGTTTGGGCGACAGAGTGAGACTCCAACTCAAAAAACAAAAAAACAAACAAAAAAAACCCAGCAACGCGATAATAAGCCTGTGCATGTGGCTGAATTTGTTCACAGTAGTCCCTAAATGCCAATAGCTCCAAGAAGAAAAGAATGGGCATAGGTCTGCTGGGAGTTTCAAGGTCAAAAACACTTTATGACAGTCAGATACAAAACCAGGTATGATCTCAACTCTGCAATATGCATCACTAAAAGACAGGGAAGGAAATATAAAAGATTAAGTGTTCGTTTTTTGAAATGTGAATTTCTATCTAACTTTCATTTTCTTTGTTTTATTATTATTATGTTATATTACTTGGCATTTTTTTTTTTTTTTTGAATTGGAGTCTCACTCGGTCACCCAGACTGGAGTGCAGTGGCTGCTCCCGGCCACCGCAGCCTTGACCTGCTGGGCTCCAGCGATCCTTCCGCCTCAGCCTTCCAAGTAGCCAGAATTACAGGCATGTGCTACCATGCCCGGCTGATTTTTTGATTTATTGTAGAGATGAGGTCTCGCTGCCCAGGTGGGTCTCGAACCCGTGGGCTCATGCAATCCACTCACCTCAGCCTCCCAAAGGTGCGGGATTACAGGCTGAGCCACTGAGTCTGGCTGGCATGTATTTTTTTATTCAAGAAAAAAGACAATACATGTTGTTTGAAAAACAAACCACAGAAAAAGCCAGCTTCTATATAGGGTTAAGTCTGCTCCAGTATGTGGAGGTAGACTGGAGGAGTCTGTGGAACAGAGTGACAAATTAACTGAAGAGAGGGCAAGGGGAGCAGAGAAGAGAGAAATTCAGTCCTGAAACCATGGTAACATCTGCTGGAGTGTGCACAGTAACTCAGAGCCAGTCATGGCTGCCAGTTGTATTTTCTACTAATTATCTCCTCAGACTGATTCCTCTACATATTACTTAAACAAGGAAAACCAGGAAGGGAAGCTGGCAACCCTCTTCTCAGGACAGAGGTTCACAAACCTTGGCCTAGACTCACTCGCTGCCTGCCCCACCTGCTCCACAACCAAAGGACCACAGTTTCTTTACTATTGGAGATCCCAGCAGAGCTTATTCTGCAAGGGACAGCTTGAAGCAACTAAACTCAGAAGTCTAGTTGATCCTATTCATAGATAGTCAATGCATAGGGTGCTCTGGGCCCCAGACTATGGGGATGAGTGGAAAAAGGTCATCTTTGGAAATTGAAAACAGGAAATATCAGTACACAGTGGGTGAAATCAGCTACCTGCAAAGCAGCCACTCATCATGGCAAATGGACACAAATAGCATTTTGCTGGTAGGACTGATGTGTCTCCCTGAGTACAGTAGATGGCTGAAGAATTTTCTAACCCAGTTCATAACTATTGTAACATGTCTGGCAA